GGGCCGCTGTATTTGATTCTTCCCAAAATTCTGCTGGTGGTGCTACCGGCAATTCGGAAATTTAAAACTGCTGGCCTATTCCAGGAGCGGTCTGTGGCGATAGCTATTTTGTCTGTGGTTATACATACCGTTTTTTAAAAACCTACAACACCTACAAAATTGATGTATGGTGGTAATATCCGTTCATAACGTTTTCCTCTTTCGGGCAATATTGACAACTATTTTTTATCTGATAGGTGGTTCCATTTGGAAGTTTTTGGACCTCTTGTAGAATTTTGATAAAAATTTTTTCTATTGGCTTGTCTTAGATTTGAGAGCTATACTTTAAAAGTAATAAATAATATTAGGTACTACTTCATAAAAAACGAAAAAATGCGATTTGAGGTATGTTATTTATGCCTCCAACTGCCAATGAAAAGGAAAAAAGAAAAATGTTTCTCTTGATCAAAATGCGGTTAGAACGGTACGATATAGATAATTTTCGAAACTCCCTTCGAATTGATTGTGATACATTCGATTCTACTCTTTGAGGCTAGGTTAAAGCATGTATGCTGCGCACAAACAACCTACTGATCACTTAAATGTTGTGGCATGACCTTGAGACTCCACAACTCTACTAACACTAACCAACACTTTTAGCGAACGGTTTTTGACCTGCACAATCCTGTGCTCCGAGGTCTTTGTAAATAACTAGTTAATATATAATTTTTATATAACTTACCAAGAAAAATGTAGCCACATTTCAAAAACTGAAAAAAATGTTCTTTGGCTATGCAGCTAATGTTGTTGGCCACAGAAAGAATTTCACTGAATTTTATCAAAATAATCACTTAACAATAATTACTAAACAATCGAACATAAATATATCATTTAAAAATATGTATTTACTTATTAAATTTAAAAGCGTTTTCACACACACACACACACACTTCTGTCGCACTTACGTACGCCATCTTTGAAATTCTGTATAACCAAGTCACAGCTTATACCAAGTTGTATCTGATTGGTCGAAAAAGCACGAGGTTAGTCAGAAATATACACAAATTCATTGCACAGATAGGTACAAAACAAAACTACAGTTTTTTAAAATTGTTTATGTTAATTTAATTTTATTCTATTATTTATTTGCAAGTTCAAATTTAACAGAGGTTAAATTATAGGTCTTTAATAATTGTGTTGTTTTAATAAAAAAGTTTACACCCTAATTCATTTTACTAACAACCAATGACTCACTATCTGTTCATTATAATAAAATATTAATAGGTATACATAATTAAATAATTTTAATAATTTCTTTGGTAATCTAACGTTTATCCACGTTCATAAATTGTTTAACAAATTTATTCTGAATATTAAGTTAAAATAAAATATCTTACCATGGATCTGTTAATAAGGTGCAAAAAAAATCCTACATATAGAACTATAAATGCTTGTAGTTTGTTTTATTTAAGCAAAACAAAATTTCTAATGTATTTATTATTATTAGCATCAAAAAGTCGTACTGTGTTATTACTAAGAGACCTGCTTTCTACAATAAAATTAATGCGAAATGTAGGTACAATAAGCAATTTTGCTAAAAACTCCTTATATAAATTTTTATTTAGTTTTGGAATTTCCAAAAGATTAATCCCCTGATGTTAACAAATTATGACGTGTGTTACCTACAGGAAAAACTTCATAGGCATTTCAACAACTCAGATACCTTGATACCTAACTCTAGCTAAAGTGGGAAACACACAGCGGGTGTGAAATTTTAATTTTGTTTTCTAGTAATATTAATAATATTGGTGATAATCATCAATTATCTCTATATTTGTGTGCATAAAGTATGCTGATTAGGTACGACTTTTTCTAATGTTGTCTTCGGTTCTTAAAAACCTATGGTTTATTGGAATTATTGCAGTGTAGATACAAAAACGTTAAAGATTAAGTACTTCGCAAATAACATCAGAAAAAGTCGAAAAATTCATAGATAAAAGTGGACACGTTAGTAACTGTTCTTTAAACTGGTAAGTACGCACGTAGGTAGGTAATTATATTCAAATTTATTGTATATGATATATTGATAATTTCTGCTTTTTTCAGTTTAAATTTAGCATCATTATTTTTGTTAACTGTATTATATTCACTTTTTTATAAATATAAATTTTATAACGTATAATTCGTGACACATACATACAGGTAGGTATCTAAATAATATGACACGATATGAGCGTTCTAGTAATGAATTGAATATGATCTAAGTAGGTATTACTGGTGTCAGTTTTTAATTAGTTACCTACTGTACTTATCCTTTTAATTAATTTCATATTACTTACTTTCACTAAGTTAGTCATTTATAACAATTATAACCATTACTCAAAAGGGTAAATGACGTCATCAACTCTGAAAATGGCGGATAAATTAATAGGTGAAAAAATATTTTAAAAAATACTGTATGTTCACTACTGAAACAAATTTGTGCTCAACAAGTATTGTGGGGTCTCTCTAACTTCAGAAGTTCTCGACTATTATCGTTATCGAAACGGACGAATAGGTACCTATTAGCAGTTAGAATAGTTAGATTCCTAACTAATGAAACATTTAAAATCGAAGACCTTTTAGTTAACAAGCCGCACTAGAGTAAGCCAATTGGCATAGTCAGATCCGGGGGTTGTAGCATTTAAAAGGCATTAGGGATGATTAGGGATAAGGACTCCAATTCAACCTCAGAGGGCGTGTCCTCAGGGCGATACTCTAATCTCGTATCACCTTATTTGTCTATGAAAAAATATATTTCTTGTCGCAGGCCTTAGTTTACCTTTATTTCATTACATAATAAAGTGCCATTTTCCAGATTTTTCAGTGATTGAGAGTAATTTGTTTAGACAAAAATATAGCTATTAGCAGCTCATATCAATTCAGAATATCTCAAAGTTTCTATTAGCTCATAATAGCTAGTATTTTTACCAAGTCGAAAAGCCATATGGAGAGAATAGAGAGAATAGAATAGAATGGAGAGAAGTTGACAATGTTTTTGATAATTTTTTATTAGTCTGGCATACCTATTTATAACTGCACACATATACCTAATATTTAAGCATTTCCTTTACAGATTTTAATAAATTTTAAATAACTCTCATCATCATTGCTGTGTACGATGGCACAATTTTTGGGTTCTCAAAATGACCCCTCTTTGCCAGGACCTTCCGGTTTAAACAACACACCTCAGCTAGTTCCAATAAGTAAGTTTTCCATGCAGTTTAATGAATTTTGTCTCAAAATGATTAATTTGTAACTTAATTGCCTTATGTAGATTTGCATTTTTAACTTGCATCTAATAATCCTTTTTTTTTATTTTTCCAAATTGTCTCTCTAAATCACAAACAATATTTGAAATCTAATAGACTCCTCAGAATACTCCATTAACAATTTATATACAGATTTATTATAAGTGTAATATACAAATATAAAAATATAATCCATTATTTCAATTATTTTAATTTTTATTCATTAAATTTTCTCAAAATGATATCTCTATATCTACACTTATAAATTAGCACACATTCTATATATCTTTTCTTTATATTTTTTGAATTCAGACCCTAGCAACAGGGGCCAGTTCATGGGTATGGGCATTAACACATCTACAGGTTCTGGTACGACACCATTACACAGAGGTAATCTATATGGTCATCTTTTTACGAGTTACAAAAAATATATATATATATTGTGTAACTGAAACAAATTTTAGCACTAGATCTATCTAATATACGAGTATAATCTATATATTATTTTGTTGCAGATCCCATACATCAATTGCGTCCACACAATGAGAATTTTTGTCCATCTAATACAGTCATCCAACCATTTATTTGTGAGTTTCTAAATCATTTAATATTTTTGGTACTGATTTTTTAAAATGTTCATTACTCCGCTAAATTTTTCTTAACATATACAGTGTGTTTTATGTTGACTTGCAGTATTTTAGAGCACATAGGTATCGATTTTAATTTCTTTTTTTTTTTTCATTATAGACTATAAGTGTCAATGAGATCTACTTCACCATTTGTAACTTTCATTTTTACCCCATTTTCAGTACCCGCTGATGCAAAAAAAATTAGCCAAAAATTGGTAATTTCTTTAAATAAATAATTGAATTGTACGTATGCCTATCTGCTAATAAAAAATTTGCTTTGTAACAGATCATACAGTATTTGCTCTAGTAATTACAACTTTTAAAATGCAGTATTTAGAATACTCAGTATAAGCCATTTTAAGTTAAAGTTTATAGCTTTGTTCAAAACGATGAAAAAATTTGGTTATATGAAATGGTTTAGATGCAATACAGTAACACCTTTTTAATACAATGACAAATCATAATAAATACCTAGGTGAATATTGGAAATAGAAATTACAAACAGGATTTTGTAAGTAATGATTAATACTGCAAAGAAAATTATAGTAACGTCAAAGAATAATAAAAAATTATCAAAAAATTTTTAACAAAGTAGTTCAATGTTTATATTTTCAATACTTCTTTATTTATTTGAAAACAAGTTCATCACTATAGCGTAACATTAATAGCGATCTTATCAATTAAAGATCCATTTATACTTTCTTAAATATGAGGGCGTTGCTGCTCAAAGTGAAACACACACATATTATTTGATTACTTTCAACTTTTTAAAACAATTCTTAGATTTCAATATTGGCCCGGCCCCAGGTCCTTGTAAGATTTGTCGGTATAGCTCCAACAGTCAACCAAAAAGCATCTGTAAGTTTTGACTTGATTATCAAATCACAACTAGTTTCTCAAGTTATACGTTTCTAATTCTCAGATCTACAGCATTGCATACCACAATGCCCCGCTATTGTCACCAACCACAATTTAGTATATGCTACATCTGACTTTGTCGGGCGTAATGATGTTCGTAAGTTGTGAAATTTGCAGTTAAAGCCAATATAATTAAAGATTTTTTTTTTCAGGTCCATGCGTTGTTTACCTTCCTGGATCTAATATTCCTTCGAGTGTCCCTGAAGATTCTAATGAAACAGCTCCAATATATATAGGTAAGTTTTCTTAAATCTACCTCAATCTAATTGTGAAGATTATCCTAAAAGTCAAAGGTTTGTGCGGGAGAAGGTATAGCATGATTCAGCACAAAACAAATTAACATTGATTTTAGGACTTTTTATTCTTCCTAATCCTCAAGATGTATATACAACAGAAGTGCCAAGGACACAATTAGGCAGCCAAAGGCAAAGAGGAAGCTACGCACATGGTTCAAATCTAACTAATCCATTTTGGAATATCTATGGTACATTTAACAACCATGCACCACCACGTTATCGTAAGTGTGTAGTTAAAGTTATCAATCTAATTCAAAATAACTAAAACTTCTGATTTTTTTTAATTTCATGAAAAATACACTGTTATTCATGTTCTAATATATTTGACATTTTAGCTGGTTACCAAACACAACGTCCACAAAGAGGAAACCAGTCCAGGACAGATTCAGGTATTTCAGGCAAATAAAAATAATTTATTTACATTTCCACATTTTTCATTTATGTTCATATGCCATGTTATTTTATTTCTACTTTTATACATATTTTTAAAACTATGTTTGAAACTTATTAGGAACTATTTTCAATATACGTTAATCCTCTTATATTTTGTTTTATTTAAAATAATTTAATATTTTATTTAAAATTAAATTTTGCCACACTTTATATACAGTGTGCCATGCATCAAAAATGAAATGTTCTCATCGTTTCAAAATTAAAAATATTTGTTTACTAAAGATTCAGCTCAAATATTAAATTACATTTTCCTCCTACTTCTTTTGTTGGTTGCACTAAATTTAAATTGTCTACAGTGCTCGTTGAACCAAGATAGATAAAAGCCAACAAATTATAGGAAATATTTATTTATAAACAAAAACCAAATGCTAAGCAAATACTGAAATTTTGAAATTAGACAAATTTGCAAAGAAATTAAACTATAATTTCTTTTACAGATACAAATAACAACTTGTCTTTAAAAAACTTAAAAGAAAATAGTAATTAAAAATACAAAATACTAAAAAACATGCATTAATGAAAACAGTGTAAAAAAAACATTTTTGTTAATCTTCAAACAATCCCACTTGTGAATCATCTGATACAGCAGGATTATTTTTTGATCCCAAATATATATGAGGTAACTAATTTTCTTCGACATTGGATTTTTCCTATAAATAAAACAAATTTTACAACAAAAATTAACATAAAAAAGAAACATATTGAAAATAAAGTTGTATTTACATACATTTATGTTAGTGATCTTTTGATGTCATACAGAACAGTATTTTTTTGAGAAAGGGATGCACATATTAAGCTTTTTTTTGGGACTGAATATTAGTGACTTGTAGTTACTATTTCTATCTCTTTTGATCTTAGTTTTCATATGGTAGTTTAAATCTCTTCATTCACTCATACCACACATACTACAACATACGACATCACTAGGGAAAAAAGCCTATTGAAAGACAGCTGATAGAAAAATTAACAAAATGTGAAAATGTTTAAACATAAAGATAATATTAGCAAAGAATCCTTTGACACAAGAAAACAATTGATACTTGTTAAAAAACAAAGTAAACCTTTTTATGTTGATAAAATTTTATAAGTAAATTAAATAATTACCATATTTTTCTTCTTATCGGGTGCATTTAGAAGTTCTCGACCTGACCTCGCTGTTGTATAGACAGTTTTCACTGCACTTTCAAAATCAAGCTGTAAAGTGTCACCAATAAAAACAAGAAACACTTTTTGTTGAAGATAGCAAAAAACAAAATTGAAAGAAAAATTGTGTCAGAGTGAAAAAAGAATGAATAAAGTTACAAACTTACTTCTTCATATTTTCTTGCTGATGTAGAACATTCTTCAACATTGGTAACCGATACATAAAACTCATTGATTTCTACACAATGTCCAGCTAGGAGTATTTCGTTTAATGAAGTATATCTAAGTATAGAATAGGTTGGAACAGTTTTTTTAAACCTGTACTTTCTTCTTAAAATTACCAATAGATTTATTTTATGTCGGATGGGTACTAATACTGTTTTATGAATCTTTCTCCTTTGTTTTCCATGATGTACCAAACGACGTTTTTGTTTGCTGATCTCAGCTAAATAATTGAGATTGACAAAAATGTGGCAACAGGAAAAATATTTTAATTTACTCTCACCATATTTTTTAGTTGATTCATATGCAAGATATTCAGGTACTTTAGACTTGAGGCCCATAGTGTGTACAGGTTTATCTGCTTTAGCACAGTCATGTTCAAGATTTTCCAAGTCTACTATTTTCTGATCCCTTATAGAATGCTCATCCAACTAGAAACAGTAACCCAAAAAAAAAAGAACAAAATATTTGTGACTGAAATAATTTTCTTCTAAAATAATACAGTGACTTAAAAACCAGGACATAGGTACCTTAAATTTTTTTGGGACACATGTCGATTGACTTGATTTCTTTTATGTATGACTTCTAGATATACCTGTTGAACTAGGCAACTGTTGAATTTCATAATTTATAACACATAATAATATTTTTTGTGCATAGACTTAAAATTTTATATATATGAAGTTTCTGTTTGAGTCTTATAAATCTAGGAGACATTGGAAATATCTGATGAAGAAAAATTACCGACACTGTAATTATAACTACTTTTGTGTGAAAATTTATGACAATAGAGCAGACTCTATTATTTACCAGTTATAATCAGCAGTTCAATAATTAGCTATTTTTTCATCTTCAGGAATTCCAAAGCCTCCTAAATTTTTAAACTGAAAAAGAAGCTTTGTTTAAAACTTCTAATCCCTATACAAAAATGTCTACATTATAAACTGATGAAATTTAAGATACTAGGGTTTTATAGTATTAATGCTTAAATCTATGTGGCTAGACTTTTACTTCCTAAACCACTCTAAAAAGCCTATGGATCAACCAGCTGGGGTTATTGTAATTATGGGTTTGGCAAGGTATATAGGAAGAATTTCATTGAAATTGTGAGTTTGATTTCATTTTTAGAGGGATGTACTAGTTCAATGAGCCATACAAAAAGAGCTTACAAAAAAATTGTTTGTATCCGATTCTTCTCCACTATCATAATTTATCAGGGCAGGTGGTAATGCAGGTTCATTAGGTCCATTATGTCTGGAAGTGTCTGGAAGAACAAAAATACATGTATAAAGGAGATGTCCTTAGATGCAGAAAAAATTTAATGTCTACATCTACAAACCTATATCTTCATTCCTGGAGAAATTGATACATGTAAACAGGCATAAAAGAAAGCCGTTCACCAATAAAGTAACAAAAAGAGTGTCCATGATAAACATAATCAGTGGATTTGCTACTTCTATGTCATTATATAAATCTGCAATAAAAATATAAAATATTATATTTTATCATTATGGGTACCTACTGTAAAAAATCATTACACCTACATTATTATTAAACTTACCTTGTAGAATTGGTTCATTTTCTTCTTCCAGCACCTGGATAAGTAATAGCAATGACACTGAAATAACAAAATATTTGATCTTGCTGACTAATAAACGAATACCTAGTACTTATTTAAATAATAGTGAAAACAAACATAAATTACAAAAACCTACACAATGTCATCCAAACAGCCATGTTGTCTCAAAAAGTCAGTACAGCACAGCACATTCAAAACTACAGTTAAAAAAAAAATCAAAATGTATCTACCTATATAAAACTTTCGCGGTAGTTCTTACGTATCACCACGGATAAAAAAAGGGGTCCCTTACCACTGACCTCTATTTAAGTTGAATGATGTAATAGGGCGGGAAATCTAAATGATTATGATTTTTTGGAAAACAATATGATGATCACTAAAATAAAAAGTAAGTACATCATTTTGGATAGTTGGATACATTCTTAAATTGCAATGGGGTACTATTGTACTTTTTGAGAGAGAATCGTACCAAATTTACTACCTGCAATTACAATAATACGCTTAAGGAAATCTCTTTTACCTACGTTCAACGCGTTTCAAGTTTTTTCTACATAAAATGTAATTAACAGAATTGTAAAGAAAAGCATGTATATATATTATATTTAAAAAAGTAATCTAAATGGCAGTTAATCAGTAAAAAAAATATAATTTGATTTCGTAGAAGAGGCAGAGTGAACGCGTGAGTTCGTGAGTATAAAACCCCATTCACAATCAATTCGCGGGCGAAGTCTGACTTGGCCACGCGTGCTTACCTTTCGCATTTCAATGTAGCCGTTCAGAATAAAATCTCGAGCTGGCAAACGAGTTGAAGTGCGCGTGAAACCTCGCAAGCTGCAAACTTTGACGTCCGTGCCGACTTCCGTGCCGGTTACGGGATATGCGCAATATGATTGTTTTAATACATTGTCAACATAATTTTAATTTTATGGAATTTTGAAATTAGTTTAACCATTATGTTGATTAACCACGATGGAAGAATGGGAAACTTATTATCCCCTCTTTTACAGGTAACAAATGCTGTTGTTGTTACTTAAAAAGACAGCTATTATAGCAATTCGAGCAAAAAAACTCCATTAAAAGACTTCTGGGTCTTGGGGGAGTAAGACCAATTCTAACGGCCCGGAGAAATCATGAATTTTATGAAAATTTTCTTCGTGAAGCTCGTTTCAGTGAGCCCAACATTTTTTTTTCAATTTTATAATCTGTCAGATTTATCATAGTGGTCTGTAATTGGAGATACACTGTAATAAAAATTCGTCGCTAAACTCGGGAGCAGCTTGGAATTGGCTCACTTTAATAATTATTATTATGGATTATTATTGTACATTTTAATTTAAAATTTTGAAAACAAACAAAATATAAATGTAACCTAAAGTATACAACTAAAACAGCTGATTTAAGTTGAAGCCAACGCGCATGTACCAAGTGTCGCCTGAATTTTATTCCGAATGGTCAAATCCGTGCCGAAGTGTAAGTTGGCTAGCAAATTGATTCTGAATGCACCTTAAGTGTTTTAAAATTTCGGATCTGGTAGATAAAAATACAAATACTTTACTGTTTACAAAATATTAAACAATTTTTAATAATAAATTTAAAAATAAATCATTATTCCGAGTGGGAAATAATTTACCTGTGATCTCAATTAATATAAATTAATAATTTAAAGAATCGATACGGCGTAAAAATCGATTAAAATAATACTTAAAAATCTTAAAATTATTCGAGAATTTTAAATGTCACTGATATTTGAATACATACATTTGAATAATATAAAATACTTTAAAATACGTATCGCACATACGTACCACAGATTGTAAACTTCAAGAGATGTGAAAACGCATAATAATGAGATACTTTCAACTGCTCTTAATAAAATTTACTTCAGATGAATATTAATTTTACAATAACGTAGGTATATTTTATTTGCATTTGTATGGATGAAATTACTTAATACATTAGACGAATTCTTTCATTCATAATTTTCAAATTATATTCTAAAATCAGATCAACTGATTGGTTAATTTTAAAATATTGTGGCAA